GCTGTGCACAATTGGCTGCCGCATTTCACCCATATATATATAGTCAATTCACTTTACAGTATATTCTGTGAAGCACTTTGAGACATCTAGAAGACGTGAAATACTCTATATCAAATGCAAGGATGATTATTATTATTCTAACAATATTTTCTGAATCACCACGGCAGTAGAACAAGAGGATACAGGTTCAGGGTTGCAAAGGGCAATTTCAGGACAGACACCATTAGCCAATGGATAATTAACTACTGTAACAGATTACCAGGACACAGGACTCATTTTAAAAACAGCTTGCTGTTATGAAGGGTACGTGGTAGGTGGGGAATGTGGGAAACTTAAAGTGGCCTTCTTCATCCGAACCAATTGTGTGACTGTGATCTTGTGATCTCAGTATGTGATGTGAAACTGCTTGTGTGTGAACCATTGCCTGATTCGAAACACAAAAAACCTCATGTTCAGGTTAAATTGAGTGGGAATTTTGCACATGTTATAAGTATACCTGCAAAAATGAACCTAGTCACTTATAAATTACTTGTCACAAATAATGGCTAACACCACTATAATATGACAGGATCAAAGTCGAGCTACATAATATTTCATGCAAGTCAGATTACAGTGTATACTTAGGGGAAAAAAGAGTAGGTGTTCTGGTTGAATATCTGTTTTATCTCAGAGAATTGTGCATATTGGTACCTTAGCTACACTTTATCACTGAATAAAGTGAATGAAACTATTCTAAGCATGAAATAATCTCTAGTTTATTGATTAAGGAATGAACACTGTTTCAGTGAAACCTATATTTTATGTACTGTGACTTCAATATTCTCAGCAGGCTGCAATTGTGAAATGAGAAAAGTCTGACCTTACCACAAACCATCTACGTGCCCCACTATACAGTTGTGGGTTCAAGTCTTGTGTTTGGGGCATTGAGCTAAGACTAGGTTCACACTCCAGGGCAGCTTTAGGCAGGCACTGCATTGTTTGAAGGTCCCATTTGCCTGTTCAGGTCACTCTTAAAAATTCTTGAGAGTTGTTCATTTCATTCTTAATTCATTCTAAGAACTGCTAAAAATCTGCTTCCAAATTATCAATGACATTGCTAATAATAATCCTTACATTTGTTATAGTGCCTTTCATGTCAGGAGGACATATCAAATTGTTTCATAGGATGTACTGTAAAGTGTAATGACTGTTTTTTATGAGCGAACACCCACTAAATTAAAACTGAACTTAAGAATGTTTCCATAGTTCAGCGTGGTTTCCATAGTACATCACTGACATCATAAACCTGTCCCTCTCCTCTGGCTCTGTCCCCATTCCATTAAAAACTGCCATCATCACGCCCACCCTGAAAAAACCCTCCCTTGATGCGTCGCAGCTATCAAGCTACCGGCCCATCTCCAACCTCCCCTTTCTCTCCAAGAAAGAGTTGTCGCCTCCCAACTGCGCTCTTTCCTCTCCACCCATTCTCTTTTTGAACCCCTTCAGTCAGGTTTCCGTGCTGCCCATAGCACAGAAACTGCCCTGGTCAAGGTCACCAATGATATCCTGACCATCTGTGACCAGGGCTCCCTCTGTCTCCTCGTCCTCCTCGACCTATCGGCAGCATTCGATACGGTCGACCACGCTATCCTACTCCACCGCTTGTCCTCCCACCTCAACCTTCAAGGCACTGTCCTTGAATGGTTTAGCTCTTACCTTTCCCACCGTCTTCACTTCGTCTCAACGAATGGCTTCTCCTCCACCCCCCGTACTGTCTCATGTGGTGTCCCTCAGGGCTCTGTCCTCGGTCCCCTCCTCTTCACCCTCTATATGCTCCCCCTTGGTGACATCATCCGCAAACATGGGGTTAACTTCCACATGTATGCGGATGACACCCAACTCTACCTTTCCTCCTCTACTCTCAACTCCACGACCACCGATGTCCTGACAGCCTGCCTGTCCGACATCGAGTCCTGGACGAGAGACAACTTTCTTCAGCTCAACGTGCGAAAAACCGAGGCCCTCCTGATTGGCTCACGTCAGCGCCTCCGCACCTCAGGCGCTGACACCATCAGCATCCAAGGCTGCACTCTCCACCTCTCAAAGCCAGTCAGGAACCTCGGCGTTTTGTTCGACCCTGAGCTGTCCTTTCTCCCTCACATCCGCACCACAACTGGCACCGCCTTCCATCACCTCCGGAATATCGCCAGACTACGGCACTACCTCACCCCTCACGCTGCTGAAACCCTGGTTCACGCCTTTGTCACCTCAAGGCTGGACTATGGGAACTCTCTCCTCGCCGGCCTTCCCGCCACCTCCCTCCACAAGCTGCAGGTCATTCAGAACTCTGCAGCTCGTGTACTGTCCCGCACCAGGCTTCGGGACCACATCACTCCCACCCTCGCTCGCCTCCACTGGCTCCCCATCCCCCAGAGGATTGATTTCAAGATCCTCATCCTCACCTACAAGGCCATTCACGGCCTTGCTCCCTCCTACCTCTCCAACCTACTATCCCCCTACCTACCTGCCCGTACCCTCCGTTCCTCTGGCTCCGGTCTGCTCCACGTCCCCCGCCCCAACCGCCCTACCATCGGTGGTCGGGCCTTCAGCCTCTCAGCCCCAGGCTCTGGAACTCCATCCCCCAGTGCCTTCGCCTTGCTTCCTCCCTTTCCTCCTTCAAGGCCGGTCTCAAAACCTTTCTCTTTGACCGTGCCTTCAGCTCCCCTCTCGACTCTCTTCCTCCTCCTCGCTCCCTCCCTTCCCTCCCCTCACCCTGACCATTTCCCCCCTCCTCTCTCCCTCCCTTCCCTCCCCTCACCCTGACCATTTCCCCCCTGCTCGGGTCATGACCCAACTGTGCAGCGCCTTGGGACGTCCTCCTGACGTGAAAGGCGCTCTATAAATGGAATCTTGTTGTTGTTGTTGTGTTGTGGTGGTAAATTTTAAGACAAAATGACTAGGACTAGGTGAAATTATGGATGTTATTTAACTTAACTGTATAACACTAACTAAAGTAAATCTTTATTTTTCTGGGATAATCACATCCAGTCTGGATATAAGCAAATCTGCTGATCAGAAATCCTTTGTCTTTCCAAATTTATTGCATAAAGCAGTATTTGACTGCCCATTGCTATGTGCAGTTGTTAACATGCTTTTCCACTTGAAATTTGACATTTTAAACAGCTCCAGGAGTACTGTAGATGTAAGCGGAAGATGATTCATTGCTTAGTATTATAGTAAAATACATTTTTTTAAGTTTAGCACCTTGGAGAGCAAGTAAAATGTCAAGAGAAATGTGCTTTTGTTTATCTGCTCGTAGTTCAGTTCAGGCATTTTAGATCTGGTGATGCCCCATGAACTCTGAATGTCCCTTGAAAATCAATAGTGACACCAGAATATCATACTGGGCAGCATCAATATTTCAAAAGGTTAAGCATTTCTGAGAAGCTCTGAACTTGTACAAAGTGTTGAACATTTCAGGGTAAATGCAGTTGTCAGGCTGAAACAATAAAACATAATGCACTTATATAGTGCCTTTCATGTCAAGTAATTTCTCAAAGTGCTTTACAGAAACGTACCAGAAGGGAAATGGGTAGGATAGAAGGATGAGAGGGAACTAGCTAGATATCTACATAACGTTACAGTATATTCTGTGAAGCGCTTTGAGATGTCTCAAAGACGTGATAAGGCACTATATGAATGCAAGGATAAGAACATAAGAATTTGCTAGGCGAAAGAAGACCAAAGTCCATCTAGTTTGCCTTCCACTATCCTGACAGTTGCTTGACATGTTGTCTCCCAAACTATATACTGTATTTTGAGATATTCTTTTCTATTACTATTATTATTTCATTGAGATTGAACTTTTACACACTTTTTAATGTCTGACACTAACTCACACAAAATAGATAATATTTCATGCAAACCAGATTACAGTGTATACTTAAGGGGAAAAAAGAGTAGGTGTTTTGGTTGAATGTGTGTTTTATCTCAGAGAATTGTGTATACCGGGTTCCTTAGCTGCACATTAAAATTAAATCATAAATTACTGCTTTAAAAAAAAGTTCATATTTACTTTTATTAATCAAAAATAGCTACAGGGTTTGAATTTGAAAGATTTGAAAGGTTAGATTTGCTAACTGTGATTGACATTTGCAGTTATTGGCAGAATGGCTTGTTGCGATTTCTAAAAGCCGACAGAATACAAAAAAAACTGCTGGAGAGCAAAAGGGCCCAATGTCGTGCACACAATTATGACATCTTAGAATCATAGAATATTGCAGCACAGATGGAGGCCATTTGGCCCATCGTGCCTGTGCTGGCTCTTTGGAAGAGCTTTACAATCAATCCCATTCCCCTGCTCTTTCCCCATATCCTTGCAAATTTTTCCTCTTCAAGTACCTATCCAGTTCCCTTTTGAAAGTTGTTATTGAATCTGTTTTCACCACCCTTTCAGGCAGTGCATTCCAGACCATAACAAAAAAAATTCTCCTCATCTCCCCTCTGGTTCTTTTGCCAATTATTTTGAATCTGTGTCCCTTAGTTACCAATCCACCTGCCAGTAGAAACAGTTTCTCCCAATCTCCCAATCTACTCTATCATAATTTTGAACACCTCTATTAAATCCCCCCTCTGCTCTAAGGAGAACAGTCGTCCTCACTGTTTACCAGGTTCCCAAATTTCGTGTCATCTGAAAACTTTAAAATATTGCTCTCTAAAGCCAAGTCCAAGTAATTTATGTATATCAAAAAGACCAGTGGACCTAATACCAACCCCTGGGGGACATCATTGTATACTTTCCTTGAAGGGAATTGATTGAAGACACAGTTAAAGAGGTTAGATTTCTGGGATCATACTCTGCATATGGTTAGATTTCAAAAGGGTTTCAAAAGCAAAGAGGGAGTGTGCGAGGTAGGGTGATTGAGGGGGAGAGTTCCAGAGAGATGGGACATATTGACTCAAAGTAACATTGCATAAGGTATCTGGTCAGCTAATCTCTACTGTTTATCTTTCTCTTACAGATACTGGCTGACAAACAAGGTTTACATCAAGCGGCCCAGCACAGGCCTTCTCATGTACACGCTTGCAACTCGATTCTGTGATGAGATCCATCTTTATGGGTTCTGGCCCTTTCCAAAAGATGCAAATGGAACACCAGTTAAATACCATTACTATGATAACCTGAAGTACAGATATTTCTCCAATGCCGGACCACACCGAATGCCACTGGAGTTCAAGACATTAAAATCTTTGCATGACAGAGGAGCTCTGAAATTGACAACAGGGAAATGCGGGCAGCCCTAGTGTTCACAATTCAAAAGCAGGATCCTGCCTTCTGATATGTTGGTGTGATTTGTACACACTGTGATTTGACCTGAAAAGATACTCACCAGTGATAATTACGACACTGCTGTAAAGTGCCCATCGCCAGCTAAGCTTGTAGCCGCAGAGTGTTCCAATTGAACGAGGTAGACTCAATGTTAGGAGCAAAATGCAAGCAGTGACGTGTTAACAAGGATTGAATATTGAGTGGGTAGGCTCGAGAGATTTGCCATCACTAGCAGGGCTCTGAAATTATTGAAGTCTGAGAGGTCCTGAGAACTTAATGGGGCCTGGTGTTAACCAGAGGTGGCCAGTATATATCTTAAGCAACTGCCTCAGCGAGCGATCAATGCTGTTATAGCATCCAAGCTTTACAATAATAATTTGGTGACAGTTTCAACACTTTCTTGTCATTGCTGTGACTTATGCGAGTACGCGAATTGGTCAAGGGTAATATCAGCTGTGGGAAGCCACCAGAAGAACGGAATGGCTGACAGCACTTTGCTCAGTTTCTTTGGTAGTTTTATAGCTCAAAGAATGTGAAAGACGTTGTCTCGTGGTGTGTTGAATGTGAACTGTGAAACTTAAAGGTGCCCTTTGTGCTGGTACCAAAGATCTTTATATAGTGAATCTTAGAACTTGCTTTTTGGAGACTGGGATTTGGGGAAAGTGTTACTGAGGTAAAGTGTTTTGTGCAATTGCTGTATAGTTTGTGCAGGGGAAATGAGAAGAGGAAGGGAGTGCAGCAGAGAGGAATCAAAAAGCACAGGTTTTATGTCAATAGAAGCACATCTGTACTAGTTCCTTAAAAGAACGTTAAATAGGAACTTTTTTTAAAAAACAACGTACATTTCAGCAGTTTACACAAACAAAATGCTCCCAGTGTTCTGTGTCAGGCTTTGGTACGTTGGGGTGTGGAAAATCTGACCAGTTGCACCGCTACTTATTTCATACTTAGTTAGCAAAGTTTCCAATACTCCTCCTTTCAGTTCTTCATATTGACATTACTGCGGTCGGTCAACTTCTGTTCTCTAACAGTGTGCTTCCCACAGAATAGAGTTCCTCTTTAAAATGCTATCAATTTGAATACAGCAGACTCCCTGCTAATTTTAGAACAGTACCATATGTCAGTTACTTGGGGTCTAACATGCTGTTTGGTGCTGCTAATGTTTTTTTGTTCCAGACAGTTTGCTAGAGTTAGCGAACAGCACATGTTAGAACACAGTGTGTAGAGTAAGGATGGTTGAATCAGTATTTTTTATGACGTTTTGTGATAGTTTTGACTTGAATTCATATAGTTGGTCAAAGTGATATCCAGCTGTGATTTCACAACTAAGAGTCTGTACTGCTGGTGAGAGACTGGCTCAGCTCCAAGCTTCCATGTCAAGTGAAGCTTCCTATTCTGGATGATCAGGGTAATCTGCTTTGATGAAAGAGACCGACCAATTAAAGTTTGGTTGTGGGCCAGCCTAATGCGATTAGCCGGGTGTGGGTGGGCCAGTCCAACACTGGTTCTTCCCTGCTTGCAGTCAATTAAACACACTGTGGGATCTAAGTGATTGAAAATATTACCAGTTAATAGTACACTTCTTCCAGCTAAAAGGAGAAGACGGTTTGCTGAGAGTTCCAGAGATCCTGCTATCCTCACAGTATAAATGGGAAGTAAATTGATTAGGAATCCTTCTTTGAAACTAGAAGAAGCAGACCATTCTGGGGTTTAATTTGTGATGTTTCTTAATGGTATTCCTTAATGAAAGCTGTGCTAGAATGGATGGAGTTCTCTCGAGACAATATGATGCATTTATGTAAATTACATCAAGGAATTCTCATCTGTACCACTCGCAATCGTTATTAAGGAATCCCATTAAGAAACACTACAAATTAGATATCCCTTTGTTTGTGTTGAGATCTCAGCTGGCAGAAATTTTGGATCCTCACAGTACAATGTCATGTTTTATTATTGAAGCCTTGACTATTTATTACAATGTTTTTACACTTGAAAAATAAACCTTTTTTTTAACTTTTTTTCACACACCTTGGAAACTCTTCGAACACCTTAGCAACAAGTTTCTTTGTGGATCCTCCCCTCCCCGCTGACCTTTTTCAGCCTACATCGGTCGCTGCCTCAATAAAAACATTATTCGTAACTTGGTCTTTTTCACCACAGTGATTTTATTTCCATTTATTGGAAAAGTGTGGATTCACTTAGCCAGTCTTGACTAGTACAATTTGGAGGTTTCTCCCTGTGTTGTGTGCAATAATTCTTTAGATAAAATTGGTCATTTACTTCATGGATGCTTGTGGGATATTGCTGTGGGCGAATTACTTGCTGCTTTCGGCCATTAAATGCACAGTCAATACACTTTACAGTATATTGTGTGAAGCACTTTGAGAAGTCCTCCCGACATGAAATGTCAAATGTAAGGATTATTATAATTTTGCTAAAAGAGAGAGAAGTCCAATCTAGCCAACCTATCCACCTAACTCAGTTAAGTTCTGGAGTTAATGTCTACTGGATTCAAGTCTGACTTGGATTGCTGCAGACCTCCTCCATGTGGGCTTGGCACAACAGCGCAGCCCAAGAGAATCCCCAATTTAAAACTGCTTTTGCGCCTTGAAGTAGCACTTCAACATCGCAGATCAGGAAAGCAAATAATCCTTCAATCCACGACTGTTTGTGGGACACTGCTGTACGCAATTGGCTGCCACATTTTGCCCACAAATATACAGTCAATTCACTTTACAGTCTAATCTGTGAAGTGCTTTGAGACGTCTAGAAGACGTGAAAAAGCGCTATATCAAATGCAAGGATTATTATTATTATTTTTATAAATAAAGTCATTTTCCTGTTTGGCTTTCTCCCCAATTACCTGCCTGGAGGCGAGGAGAAAGGATCCAGCTCTGTGTTAGGGAATAACCAATCCAAACACCCATCTAGATGTCCCTCAAGGTTCCTTTGATATTATTAAATAAGACTGACTCCTTTTGGTGGACAGAACTCCTTTTTGACACTCCCTTTTATGTTTCCTGTTTGTCATTTGTGTTGATAGTTAAGGATGGCAGTCACCAGCCTCAAGCTGTGCTAATTGTTTTGTAACAATTTACATTTATACAACACCCTTCTTGTAGGATAGCATCTCGGAACGCTGGTAATAATCAAGGAAATTCGTACTGGTAATAATTATGAATATAATTTGTAACAGTTATCACAAGGAACAGATTATTGGAAAACACAAATATTTAACTTCCCAAACTGTTTAGATGGTTGATAACCCTGTAAAATTAATTGACTGTATATTTTATGGGCGAACGCAGCAGCCAATTGTGCACAGCAATGTCCCACAAACAGTCGTGGATTGAAAATGACCAATTTATTATTGTTTTGTTTTGGAGGGATTATTATTAGGCGTGTGGAGTAAGGAAACTTGCCCAAGGTTTCACCCTGCCTGGAATTGATCTCAGGTCTCTCACTTGCAAAGCGAGTGCTCTAACCACTGAGCTACAGGACTCCACGCATTGCATTGATAAGATCAGAATAAGTCCCGTTTCTTTTGCAATCGCAGCAGGGAGTTGTTCACTCTGTTTGGGCTCCTCTCAGGCACACGAGAACTAGGTGGTGAGTTTGTGTTATGGTTCATATACAGATTAGAGAGCAGAAAACACAAAAACAAGAGCCTTAAACTAGATTTTTGAATGGCTTGCCTATCTTCACATCCTTCAGGTTTACACTGTTCTGGAACTAGGTCCATACCAATTCTGTCATTTTATAATAATCCTTGCATTTGATATAGCGCCTTATCACATTGTTGAGATGTCTCAAAGCACCACAGAATGTTACTTTACCGGGGCAGCCAATTTGCGCACTGCAGTATCCCAAAAAGAGCCATGAATTGAATGACCATTTTTTAAAACCTGACCAGGACACTGGGAGAAATTCCCTTCTCTTTAGAACTATGCCATGGATCTTCAATGTCCAACTGAATACGTAGATTGGACCTCAGTTCAACATCTCTTCCGAATGACGGGACCTCTGACATTGCAGCTCTTCACTGCACTGGAGTGTCAGCCTAGGCTGAGTTCAGATTCCTAATATGACTCATTTTAAGGTCATATGTAACCCATAAGCTTCAGACTCAAGAGGCAAGAGCGCTACCAAATGAGCTATACTAATATCCCACAAAATACACAGTCATTACACTTAACAGTAAATCTTGTGAAGCACTTTGAGATGTCCTTCTGAAGTAAAAGGCATTATACCAAATCATGTATTATAATTCCACACTTGTTTAAAATTGATAATAAGCTAAAAGGTCGATCACGCCATCCTCCTCCACTGCCTTTCCTCCGTCATCCACCTCAGTGGGACCACACTCGCCTGGTTCGAGTCCTACCTCACAAACTGCCAGCAGTACATCTCCACAAACGGCTTTTCCTCCCGCTCTCATCCGGTTACCTGCGGGATACCCCAAGGATCCATCCTTGGTCCCCTCCTCTTCCTAATCTATATGCTGCCTCTTGGGGATGTCATCTGCAACAACAACAACAACAACAAGATTCCATTTATAGAGCGCCTTTCACGTCAGGAGGACGTCCCAAGGCGCTGCACAGTTGGGTCATGACCCGAGCAGGGGGGAAATGGTCAGGGTGAGGGGAGGGAAGGGAGGGAGCGAGGAGGGGGAAATGGTCAGGGTGAGGGGAGGGAAGGGAGGGAGAGAGGAGGGGGGAAATGGTCAGGGTGAGGGGAGGGAAGGGAGGGAGCGAGGAGGAGGAAGAAAGTCGAGAGGGGAGCTGAAGGCACGGTCAAAGAGAAAGGTTTTGAGACCGGCCTTGAAGGAGGAAAGGGAGGAGGCGGCGAAGGCACTGGGGGATGGAGTTCCAGAGCCTGGGGGCTGAGAGGCTGAAGGCCCGACCACCGATAGTAGGGCGGTTGGGGCGGGGGACGTGGAGCAGACCGGAGCCAGAGGAACGGAGGGTACGGGCAGGTAGGTAGGGGGATAGTAGGTTGGAGAGGTAGGAGGGAGCAAGGCCGTGAATGGCCTTGTAGGTGAGGATGAGGATCTTGAAATCAAAGGTGAGGATGAGGATCTTGAAATCTGCAGACATGGGGTACACTTCCACATGTATGCGGACGACACCCAACTCTATTTTTCCACCTCACTTTGCGACCCCCAATCCCCTGATGTTCTGTCAGCCTGCCTGTCAGACCTCAGGGGCTGGATGAGCACGAATTTCCTTCAGCTAAATGTTGACAAGATGGAAGCCATACTCCTTGGCTCTCATCAAAATCTTCAATCGCACGGTTCTCACCTCCTTCACCTACCCAACCGGCCACTAAAACCCTCCGAACCTATATGCAACCTAGGCATCTGGTTCGACCCCCAATTATCCTTCCTCACCCACATCCAGTCCCTCATCGGCACCGCTTTCTTCCACCTCCGATGCATCACCCGTCTCCGCCAATATCTCACCCCAAAAGTTGCCGAAACCCTGGTCCATGCCTCTGTAATCCCTTAGCTGGACTATTCAAATGCCCTCCTCGCCGGTTAACCTCCACTACCATTCATAAAATCCAGGTCATCCAGAATTCTGCCGCCCGCATCCTTACCCATACGAATTCCGCTCCCCGATTACCCAGTCCTTGCCAGACTGCACTGGCTGCTGTCCCAGAGAGGATCGATTTCAAGATCCTCACTCTTGTTTTCAAATCGCTCCACTCCTCTGCACCCTCCTACCTCTCTGACCTCTCTCCTCACAACAGTGCCCGTTGCCTTTACTCGACCAGGTCTGGCCTCCGTGTCCCCCGAATCCTCCGCTCCACCATCGCTGACCGTGCCTTCAGCCACTAACCCCCGAGGCTCTGGAACTCCCTTCCTCACTCCCTTCGCCCCTTCTCTTCCTACTTTCAAGTCTTGACTAAAGACCTTTCCTTTCAACCGTGCCTTTGGTCAACGTCTTCCCCCTCCCCCTGGCTCGGTCCCGGGATCCGTTACTGTAAAACGCTCTGAGACGCCGTCCTGCGTGGAGGGTACTATATAAATCCAAGTTGTTGTTGTTGACTCTTTCTGGCTGTTCAAACTCCCATTCATTGTTGCCACGCACTCAGTCTAGAGAAATCATCCCTGATAGTGGAGCTGCTGTCACGACTCAGCCTGACCTAAATTATGAATTCTAATTGAAGAGACACCATAACAGGTTTATATTTAGGCACAGTGTGGATCCAAAGGCTAGTAGCCTCACCAGTTACTGGAGCTGATCATTATAAAGACATACGGAGCAGGAGCATAGCTGGAAGAGGTCAAATGCTGTGGTACATAAGGTTGAATGATGGCTCGCTTATTCTGCATATGTCTACAGATGGTGCCTTGAAGGATATAGGAATAAGATAATTCAGTGCAGTTGATATTTGCATTGTTGCTGGTAAAGCAATGACCAGCTCGTAATCTGCATCTACATTTTAAGAGACACATTACACAGCTGTGCAACTGCCTAATAAATTATTCTTAATCTCTAACTGCATTAACCACCATTAATGCACATGAAGGATAATAATAATAATAATCCTTTCAATTGATATAGAGTCTCACCTCAAAGAAATTGGGAAGTGAGGGAGAATTCTGCCTATCCTTGGCCTGGAAATTCATGCATTCTGCATCTATTGAGCAGATTGTTGCCTCTGTCTTGAGACATCTGGCCATGTTGGTCCCTTAGTGTATGCAGCACAGTCCAGCTCCACAAATAAAAATAATCCTTACAATTAATAGAGAGCCTTTCACGTCAGGAGGATGTCTCAAAACGCTGCATAGGATAAACTGTAAAGTGTAGCTTGCAGGTGAAGGGGGAGGTTCCTATTTTGTAGGAGCTCCATTGGATATCTGAATACTAATCCATTCACAACCATTCAAATATTCTTTACTCATTGCTCACGGCCTCTGTATTTTATCACTGATTAGCTAGAGGATTTGTACCCTAGGTACTGATGCCAGAAACAACACAGCAAGAATATGATGTTCAACATGTGTCTATCAACACTTGATCCATAAAAAAGCTTCATATGTCAATAGCAAGCTGCTTAATAGTCTCAGGCAAAATAGGCCAAAGTTAAGAACTTCAAAGAGAGGGC